GCACCTAAATACATAAAGCAATTATTAACAGACATAAAACGAGAAATAGACAGTAACACAATAAAAGTAGGGGACTTTAACACTCCACTTACACCAATGGATAGATCATCCATACAGAATGTCAATAAGGAAACACTGGCTTCCAGTGATATATTAGACCAGATGGACTTAGCAGATATATACAGAATGTTCCATCCCAAAACCCCAGAACACACACTCTTTTCAAATGCACATGGAACATTCTCCAGGATAGATCACATATTAGACCACAAAACAAGTCTCAGTAAGTTTAAGAAGATTTGAAATAATACCAAGCATCTTTTCTGACCACAAGAATATGCGAGCAGAAATCAGCTACAGGAAGAAAAACAGAAAAGCCACAAATTTGTGGAGATTAAACAAAATGCAACTGAACAACAATTGGGTCAATGAAGAAATCGAAAGAGAAGTAAAAAAATACCTGGAGACAAATGAAAATGAAAATATGACATGCCAAAATTTATGGGATACAGCCAAAGTCATTCGAAGAGAGAAGTTTATAGCAATATAGGCCTACCTCAACAAACAAGAAAAATCCCAAATAAACAATCTAACATGCGCCTAAATGAACCAGAAAAAGAAGGATAAACCAAGCCCCAAATCAGTAGAAGGGAGGAAATGATAAAAATCAGAGCAGAAATAAACGAAATAGAGACTTAAAAAACAACAGAAAAATCAATGAAACCAAGACCAGGTCCTATGAAAAGATAAACAAAATTGACAAGCCTTTAGCTAGACTCGCCAAGAAAAAAGAGAGGCAGCTCAAATAAATAAAATCAGAAATGAAACAGGAGAAATTACAATGGACACCTCAGAAATACAAAAGATTGTAACAGAATATTATGAAGAGCTATATGCCAACAAATTGGAAAATCTAGAGAAATGGATAAATTCTTAGAATCATACAACCTTCCAAAACTGAATCAAGAAGAAGTAGAGAATTGGAATACACCAATCATCAGTAAGGAGATCAAAACAGTAATCAAAACCCTCCCCAAAAATAAAAGTCCAGGACCAGATGGCTTCCCTGGTGAATTATACCAAACATTCAAAGAAGAATTAATACCTATCCTCCTCAAACTCTTCCAAAAAATTGAAGAGGAGGGGAGGCTTCCTAACTCATTCTATGAAGCCAATGTTACCCTGATACCAAAACCAGACAAGGACAACACACAAAAGAAGAAAATTACAGGCCAATATCACTGATGATATCAGTGCAAAAATGCTCAACAAAATACTACCAAATTGAATACAACAATACATTAAAAAGATCATACACCATGATCAAGTGGGATTTATTCCATGGATGCAAAGATCGTTCAATATCCACAAATCAATCAACATGATACACCACATTAACAAAATGAAGAATAAAAAAAATCAAATGATCATCTCAATAGATGCAGAGAAAGCATTTGACAAGATACAGCATCCATTTATGATAAAAACTCGGAATAAAATGGGTACAGAAGGAAAGTACCTCAACATAATAAAGGCCACATATGAAAAACCCACAGCTAATATCATTCTCAGTGGAGAAAAACTGAAAGCTATCCCTCCAAGAACAGGAGCCAGACAGAGATGCCCAGAGTCACCACTCTTACCTAACATATTATTGGAAGTGCTAGCCAGAGCAATCAGGCAAGAAAAAGTAATAAAAGGGATACAAATTGAAAGGAAAGAAGTGAAACTGTCATTATTTGCAGATTACATGATTTTATATGCAGAAAACCCTAAAGAATCCATGAAAAACTTTCAGAAGTAATAAATTAATATGGTAAAGTTGCAGGATACAAAATCAACATACAAAAGTCAGTTGTGATTCTATACACTAACAATGAAGTAGTGGAAGGGGAAATTAAGAAGACAATCCCATTTTCAACTGCAACACAAAGAATAAAATACCTAGGAATAAACTTAACCAAAGAGGTGAAAGATCTGTACACTTAAAACTATAAAACATTGTTGAAAGAAATAGAAGAAGCCATAAAGAAATGGAAAGATACTCTGTGCTCTTGGGTTAGAACAATTCACATAATTAAAATGTTCATATTTCCTAAAGCAATCTACAGATTCAATGCAATCTCTATCAAAGTTCTAACAGCATTTTTCACAGAAATAGAACAAAGAATCCTAAAATTTATATGGAACAATAAAAGACCCAAAATAATCACAGGAATCTTGAGAAAAAAGAACAGAGCTGGAGGTATCACAATCCCTGATTTCAAAATATTCTATAAGGCTATAGTAACCAAAACAGCATGGTACTGGCACAAAAACAGACATACAGATTGAAAGAACAGAATTCAGAGCCCAGAAACAAACTCACACATCTATAGACAGCTAATTTTCGACAAAGGAGCCAAGAACATACAATGGAGAAAGGAAAGTCTCTTCAATAAATGGTGTTGGGAAAACTGGACAGCCACATGCAAAGGAATGAAAGTAGACCACTATCTTTCATCATATAGAAAAACTAACTAAAAATGGATTAAAGGCTTGAATGTAAGACTTGAAACATAAAAATTCTAGAAGAAAACATAGGCCATACACTCTACAATATCGGTCTTAGCAGCATATTTTCAAGTGCCATGTCTGACTGGGCAAGGGAAACAATAGAAAAAATAAGCAAATAGGACCACATCAAACTAAAAATCTTCTGCACAACAAAGGAAACCATGAACAAAATGACAAGACAATCTAACATTTGGGAGAAGATATTTGTAAACCGTGTATCAGATAAGGGGTTAATATAGAACATATACAAAGAACTCATACATCTCAACAACAACAAAAACAACCACCCAGTTAAAAAATGGGCAAAAGATCTGAACAGACATTTCTTCAAAGAAGATATACAGATGGCCAACAGGCACATGAAAACTGTTCAACCTCACAATTATCAGGGAAATGTGAATCAAAACAACAATGAGAGATCACCTCACTCCCATCAGAATGGCTATAATTAACAAGACAGGAAACAATTAGTGTTGGAGAGGATGTGGGGAGAAGGGAACCCTTGTACACTGCTGGTGGGAGCGCAGACTGGTGCAGCCACTATGGAGAGCAGTATGGAAATTCCTCAAAAAGTTAAGAATAGATCTGCCATATGATCCAGCTGTCCCACTGCTGGGTATTTACCCAAAGAACTTGAAAACACAAAGGCATAAAGATACACGCACCCCTATGTTCATCACAGCATCATTCACATTAGCCAAGACTTGGAAGCAACCTAGGTGCCCATCAAGGGAAGAATGGATAAAGAAGATGTGGTATTTATACACAATGGAATACTACTCAGCCATAAGAAATGATGAAATCTGGCCCTTTGTGACAGTATGGATGGACCTTGAGGGTATTACGCTGAGTGAAATAAGTCAGAGGGAGAAAGTCAAATACTCTATGACCTCACTCATAAATAGAAGATAAAAACAAGAAGGAACAATCACATCGAGACAGAGGGTGGACGGGTGGTTAGCGGGGGCACAGAGGTGGGTAGACGGGGTGATGAGGCACACGTGTGATGACGGATTCCAATTAGTCTCTGGGTGGAGAACAGGATGCAATCCACACAGAAATCGATATAATGATGACATACACCTGACACTTATGTAATATTATAAAACAATGTAACTGCAATTGAGAAAATGTTCTAAAATTAGATTGTAGTGAAAGCTGCACAACTCCATGGTTAGTCAAAAGCCACTGATCTGGACACTTTAAAGGGGTAAATTTTAGGGATGTGAAATATATTTTAATAAAAATGTGAAAACAATAAATCTAGTATGAAAAGCTGACAACAAAAGACTGCAAGCTCTGGAGCATGGCTGTCTGGATTGGAATCCCAGCTCTGCTAAGTGCCAGCCGTGCACCTATGGGCATTCACCTAAACTATGTGTGCCTCAGTTTACTCATCTGCACAATGGGGCAAATGACAGTACACGTCTACTTCATACTATTGGTGTGAGGACTGATTAAGATAACACAGACAAAAAATGGTTAGAAAAGCGCCTGGCCCGAAATAAGCACCTTGTAAATCTTAACTATGATACAATCTATTGTTTTGATTATTTAAATCAGCTCCACTTTTCCAAATGAAAAATTGGAATAGCTTTGGATTTTGATAAAGAAGCAGGTTAGACTTTTTTAAAGTTAATTTTTATTAAGTTTATGATAGCTTACAATCTTGTGAAATTTCAGTTGTGCATTGTTGTTAGTTGTGTTGTAGATGCACCCCTTCACCCTTTTTCCCACTCCTCCAACCCCCCTTTCCCCTGGTAGCCACTAATCTGTTCTCTTTGTCTACATGTTTAAACACCACATGTGAGTGGAGTCATACAGACATTATCCTTCTCTCTCTGGCTTATTTCACTTAACATAATTCCCTCAAGGTCCATCCATGTTGTTGTGAATGGGACGATTTTATCCTTTTTTATGGCTGAGTAGTATTCCATTGTGTGTGTGTGTGTGTGTGTGTGTGTGTGTGTGTGTGTGTGTATCACATCTTCTTTATCCAATCATCAGTTGATGGGCACTTAGGTTGCTTACATGTCTTGGCTATTGTAAATAATGCTGGGATGAACATAGGGGTGCATGGGGCTTTTGGAATTGCTGACTTCAAGCTCTTTGGATAGATACCCAGATACCCAGTAGTGGGATGGCTGGGTCATATGGTATTTCTATTTTTAATTTTTTGAGGAATCTCCATACTATTTTCCATAGTGGCTGCACCAATTTGCATTAGACTTTTTAAATTTTGATTTCATCTTTGCAATTTCAAGGATAGAGATTGAAAGACATTCTCCTTAACTGTTATTATCTTCCACCAGAAAAATGCTTTAGGGAATTAATACCAAGTCTCTCTCCATATTATGATCTGGGATAATCAAAATGCTATGCTGGTTCTATGGTGGTCATGTTTGTGCTGGAGAAGAGAAGGACAAACGGGAAAGTGCATTTACCGGGTGGGTGTTCCATAAAGATCTGGCCTGGATGCTGCAGAAATGGCCACGATCACGGCCGGGACTCCGTAGCCCACAGGGAACATGAGCTTCTTCATGAACCTGCTCACACTGGAGTAGTTGACCACCGTCAGGTTGCGCGCAGTGAGGAAGAGGTGCAGGCCCGCCAGCAGCATCCAGGTGAAGGAGGCCAGGTAGAGATAGTGTAAGGCGCCCGCGATGACGGAGCACAGCACCTGGGGGAGGAGTGAGGTGTCACCAGGAGAGACTGTCGGGGTGCAGTGGGGCCCCAGGACCTCTCCTGTGCCTTGCCATTGGGGAGAAGTCTGATGCGTATGAAGGAGCGGTCAGAGAGGGTTTGTTGTCTAGTTGCATCAGTCAATGTGACATTGGTCACTCACCCCCTAACCTTCCCCAGGACCCAAGATCATTTCATTAAGGCATCCAGTGTAGCATGGCTCCATGGACTCAGCACCCCCTGGGGCAGGCCAGAGGGTCCACTGTGACAGGGTCAGTACCTGGATCTCTGTTCGGTCCATGGCCGTGAGGAAGAGGAGGTGGGCCAGGAAGAGGCAGAGCGAGAGCTGCAGGTGGAGAGAGGTGCTGGTGTTCTGGATGGCTCTGCACAGCAGGAAGGTGAGGGCTGCCAGGAGGAGGCACAGCAGAGAGAGGCTCAGCCCCACGTGGGTGATCACAGCCAGCATGGGATCCTCCTCCTGGGACCCAGCAAAGAGGAAACCACAGTCACTCCTTCCTGCTCTGGGGTAATGGCCCTTCCACCGTTTTCATTTTTATATTTAGGCATAGAAAAATTAGGAATGGAGGAGCCAGATATATTTGTGATGTTTGTGGCTAAGTACCTACAGGTTCAGAACATGAGGACACTATGGGATTGTGAACTGATAGATTCAGAGCCTGGACGAAGCCCTGCCTCTCACAAGGGCTTTTTTCCCTTTAGAGGTCACCTGAGTGAGTCTCTGGTCTGGTGACCCAGAGGAACTCACCAGCTCACCCGGTCATGGGAGGAGGCCAACACGGCCCCTGACCCACCTGTTCTCAACGGCTCCCCTGGTGCCCTCTGCCCTCTGCCAAGTCGACCTTTCTGCAGCCCCTGAACACTCCTGCACCAGAGACCCGTGAGGTGAGCAGAGGTCTACTTTGGCGACCATATCCCTGCCCCCACATGGACACACCCCTTCTTCCAGGTTTCCAGTCAAAAGCCAGTCCAATGCTGCTGGGAAGGCATATGGCAGATGGAGGTCCCACATCAGGTCCTACATCAACTGACTTGAAGAGAAGGAGTTTATCCTGGGTGGGCCTCGTCTAACCAGGTGAGCCCCTGAAAGATCTGGGCTCTTCCTGGAGAAAAACACTCAAAGTTAGAGTGAATTTTGATGTGAGGGAGCTTCAGCTGCTGGCCTCCAGATAGGAACTCTGACACCTTGTGAGAGAGGCCAGGAGATGACCACATTAGAAGGGATGCAGGCGGCCCCCAGGTGTGAGCATGGTCCCCCACTGTCAGGTAGCAAGAAAGTGGGGCCTCAGTCCTATGACCCCAAGGAACTGAATTCTGCCAACAACATGAAGTGCAGAGGAGGAGCCCAGGCCTCAGAGGAGAGTCTGGTAAGACCTGTAAGATGCCGACAGACAGCCCAGCTGCACCACGCAGGACTGCTGACCTGCACAGACTGGGGGTGACACATCTGTGGGTCTTTCAGCTGCTGCATCTGTGGGAATTGGTTACAGTGCGATAGACTTTGAACGCAGCCCCTCTCAGGGCCCTCACCTGCACATCGTAGTGGGCCATCAGGACGGCAAAGCTGCTGAGGTGGCTGCACTGGCAGGTGGTGCTGTTGTTCCAGCTGCCCAGTGTCCAGCACCCTGAGGTGGCCCAGTGCCCGCCCCCATCGTCAGCTCCCTTCCAGAAGGCACAGATCAGCTCCTGCCGTGTCCCGGGCTTCTCTGGCTGTGGGCAGGTGGGGGTGACCAGAGAGGTTAGCCTGGAGCCCCCCTGGGTCCTGAGCGCGGGCTGAGGCTGAGGAGGCTGTTCTTCATTTGCAGCTGCCCGCTGAGCACCTGCTGTGTGGGCCAGGCGGGGGCACAGCAGTGACCAGGGCAGACCCACGTCCGTGTCCTGGGGGGCTGACACGCTCGGGGAGACAGAGGGTAAATAATAGACCTGATAAGTAAGTAAACTAGACAGTGTGTTGGAAGGTGTTAGGTGCTATTTAAAAACATAAAAAGAAAGACACAGCGGAGGGGAAGGGGAGCTGTGGCTCCAGGTTGTAATTTTCAATCAGGAGGTCCGGGGAGGCCTAAAAGAGAAGGGGACATTTGAACACACTGGAAACAGGGAAAGGGCTGAGTCACGGGAGGGAAAGGTGTCCCAGGCAGAGGGCACAGCAAGCGCAAAGGCCCTGAGGTTTGAGGAAGGAGCAGAGTGGGCACAGGTGGGCTGCAGAGGGACCACTGTGACCCTGGCTACCGGGTGAGCAGTGGGGCTGACCCCTCCCCGCCCCAGGACTCACAGGGTGGGAGAAGGCGAAGGTGACCTTGGGGTCGAGTTTCGTCGTGTTCGTGTTGCTCAGAAAGACCGAGTTGACGGCCGAGAGGAGCCTCCACTGGACGCCATAGAGGGGGCTTTCGTGGGTCTCCTCCAGCTTGGCTTGCCTCTCGGGGTCCAGTTCCAGGGAGGCGTTGGCCAGCAGTTTCTGCATGTTGGGGTTGGAGAGGATGCCTGCCACGGCGGGGCCTGCGGACAGACACACCGGCCCGTCTGCCCTCCCTGCTCCCTGAGATGCCTCATCCAGCTGGCCATTCCTGGGGGCCCGTCTGACCCTCACCCCTGGCCACATCCCAGCCCCCTCCCTCTCCACGGGTGCCCCCGCACCCTGCCTTACCCGACCCCGCAGACCCGGCCGCCACGGCCCAGTCCAGGAGCATCCGTGCGTGGCTCTGGCCCAGGGTGACGTTCCCGTGCCCCTGCTCCTGGATCACCAGGGACAGCTCTGAGGGGAGAGGGGCAGTGACTGGGGGTCCGGGGCAGGACGCGCGTGGGGCTGGGGCGGGCAGGGCAGGACGAGGCCTCACCTGTGCCTGCAGGAGACTGGTAGGTGAAGGAGGCTCCAGGCATGGCCTTGGCGAGGGTCCTCAGGACTTCTTCCAGGCCCGAGAGCAGGTGGGTGACCGTGTGGTGCCGGTCAGGCAGGGCCAGGGTCTCCAGGTCCCCGGGGGCTTTCAGCAGCTCGTCCACTGACTGGATGAGGTCCTGGGGGTGGTGGGTGACAGCCCCTGGGTCATCGCACCACAGGGGCCGCCTGAATGACCCTGCTCTCCCCCACCAGGGACACAGGAGGACCACCCGGGGCCTGCGGAGCACACGCCGGCGTCATCGAGACCCTGCAGGAGCCAGAAGACCAGTGAGGGGGCAGCCTGTGTCCTGTGCGTGTGTCACAGCCACGGCGCTCGACGTCCCTCAGGATGGGCCTCCTGCCCCTCCGCCCAGAACAGTTGACACGAGCCATGTGGCCGTCGGGCACTGGAAATGTGGCTGCTCCAAATGGAGCTGAGCTTGAAGTGTGAAACACGCGGCAAAATTGCAAACACTTAGTTCAAAAGAATGTGCAATATCTCAGTGACATTTTTATGATTCTGTGTTGAAATGGTAATATTTTGGATCTATTGGGTTAAAGGCCATTTTCTCAGTAATTTCCCTTGTTTACTTGTACTTTTTTCTTTTAATGTAGCTACCAGGAAATTTAAAATGACATACGGGCTCCCACTTTTCTACCCGCTAAGTGCGCACCAGCTCCACCCTGCGCCCCTGGGCGCCAGCTGCTGTTTCTGGAGCCTCTTCTCTTAGTTCATTTATGAAGTGAGGAGACGGGCGGAGTCACTTGCCTGAAGTCACACGGCAGGGAGGGGCAGTGGGTGGGACAGGGGATTTGAACCCTCGTGGCCCAGCTCCAGAGAGAAAATCCTTAACTGCTCCCTTCTCCCCCTCGAGTGCACGCGCGCGTTTCAGGCTGTGTGGGCACGTCTGCGCTTGAGTAACTGGTGTAGACATGGCGTGTATGTGGCGCACATGGACATGAGTCTCCCTGAGCAGAGGCCCTGCTGGGGCTGTCTCCACTCACACGGAAGCATCCCCCAGACACCGCAGGGGACTGTCCTGGGCCCCTGGGTCCTGCCCCTACCTGGACGGTGTCCTGGGCCGAGGCTGGTGTGAAGCGTCTGCGCAGATCCTGGACTCTTTCAAAGAAGCCTGAGAGACACTGGGGGGAGGGGAGCAGAAGGGGTCAGGGAGTCAGGGAGCCTCGAGGGTGGGTGGGGAGCTTGGGGGAAAACTGGCTGACGGCGGGGGAGGGGGGGGAATTCCTGCCTCCTGGTCCCTGCTGGGGGCACTCACCTGGCTCTGGATTCCAGGGGGCGGAGTCCAGGTGGGGAAGGACATCTCTGCAGGGGACAGACAGGGGTTCATTAGGGCTGAGAGGGTCTGTGCTCGTTGGGGTGGAGTCTGGGGTCGTGTCAGATCAGGTACCTTCACACACAGTGGTGTTTTGGTTGTCCTGGAACCCCGGCAGGGGTGTCCACCCTCGGCGGCAGCGGCACCTGTATGAGCCCACGGTGTTGATACAGGCGGTGGAGTTGTGACATCGATGCTGCCTGGAGCTGCACTCGTCGACATCTGGGGACACGAAGATAGGGTCAGGCCAGGTCACAGCCTGGATGAGGCCCCTCTCCCCTCCACGCCCCGCCCCTTCTCCATATTTGCATCCCCTGGCCCACTCGCTGGAGGTGATGCCACTTGGTGACGGCACACCCCGAGTGGTGACCCCAGGTCATGGGGAGTGCAGAGGTGACTAGCAGGTGAGCCGGACGGATGTGCAGGTTGTGAAATAGTGGGAACCTTCATCCCAGTTAGTAATCAGCTGCTGCCTGGGGTCCCGGGAACCTTCCCCGTGGTACCCCAGCTCCTTCCCCAGGACCCCCAGATCTTTTCCCATTTGGTCTCAAAAGGCTTAGCACCTGGCCCAGCAGGCACCCCCAGCCTTCATGCTGCTGGGGCCGCATGGGAACCATCGAGTATGTGAGCAGCTGTTCTGAGTGGGGGTCCCCAGGAGTGCAGCCGCCGAGCTCTGGACCTGCACAGACAGTGCCGTCTGGGCCTTCAGGGGACCCAGGAACGGGCTTCCAGCCAGGGTGGCAGCGGCACTTGTAGCCACCCACGATGTTGAGGCAGTGGGTGGAGCTGTGGCAGGGATTGTGCCCCGAGGCACATTCGTTCACATCTCAGGACAAAGCCAGAGGGTCAGGCCCTGCCCTCCACTCACTGCACGCCCCTCACTGCCCGGCACTAGGACCCCAGCATTATTGCACGCGCCACCACCTGGTGAACTTCACCTTCACCCTCAAAGCACCTTATGGTGGCCTCCCTGCAACGTGGCCTTGCAAGGACCACCGGCCCCAGTTTACAGGCAGGGAAACCAGGAGGGAAACTGAGTCATGGGGGCTGGACTTTTTGACCAAGGACTCTTGCGGGCTCCTTCCTGGGCCCTGGTCCAGGTTCCCTTTCTGGAAAGTGGAAGTGACAGCTTCCTCTGCTCCCATGTGACAGACGAGGAAGGGGCGAGGTCTGGGGGTGCGCTCAGGGGCAGGGGGATCCACAGGGGACCCAGGTCCAGAGGCCTGGCTGCCTCCCTGCTCTGTGGGGACCTTCAGGGTGGCGGGACCTGGGCAGGCTCCACAGGTGTCAGCTTCTCAAGGCCTGAGGATCCTCGGCTCCTCCTTGGGCTGCAGGACCCACCTCGACTCCTTCCCAGCCCATCCAGCCTCGGTGTCTCCCTCGGGCTCTACCTGTGCACAGATTCAGGTCCTTTAGGTTGAGCTCCAAGCCTAGCAGGCACGTGCAGTTGTAGCTGCCCAGGGTGTTGATGCAGACGCTGTGGCCTTTACAGATTCTGGGTTTCTGCTGACATTCGTCCACGTCTGCAAGGGGAAGGAGAGGTGACCCGGCCGGCAGCCGTGGGCAGCCCTCAGGGCTGGGAGGCAGCCACGTTTCCTGGCAGAGAAGCATCTGGAAGCCCCCACTGTCTGTTCCCTGGTGAGTGGGCGCCTTTTCTCATTCACATGGAGGCCTGTGGGTGGCTGTGGTGGCCTGGATGCGCTGATGTCCAGAAGTGGCTGGAGGCGGCCCGAGTCCTCCCTGTCCCCAGCTCTGACTCCCTCAGCCTCCGTGGGCAGCTCCCAGCTGGGTTGGGGACAGCAAGGCCACCTGCGTCTGAGGATGTGGTCAATGGCCAGGTGGGCCTCCCTGGGATCAAGAGCAGGGAAATGCTGCGTTCCCCGAGCAGCACCATCCTGGACCTAGTGATGGCCTTGTTCAGGGCAGGTGCTTCTGGTTGAGTTCTCCTTGGAATCCCCGTGAGCCTGGTAGGACAGTGCTCTCCAATCCACGCTCACTCTGAGACTTCAGCTCCGTGGAAATGGACCACGAGCCAACCCTCAGCCAGGCCCCTCCAGAAGGAGGCGTTCAGCAGAAGAAGGGAGAGTAGAGATGGTGCTGGACAGTCCAGGGCGACCCAGACAGCAGGCGCCAGGCTGGGTGGACAGTGGGGCTGACTGACGTCCGGCCAGGCAGCCTGGGGGCTGTGAAGGTGCCTTTTCCTGATTCCCATGAAGACATCCTCTGGACTGACAGAAGTGGGGAGATCCACAGCGGATCAAGGCCAGCGGTGGGTGAGGGCTGGTGGCTGGAAGGGGAGCAGGTGCTGATGGGCGAGGGGTGGCGGAGGTTTCTGTCTTCTCAGCCCTCAGCCTCCCCACAGAGCCGCAGAATGGTGGGCCCCGTGGGGTTGTTTCAGCCTCCATCTTCTGGGCCCAAGTGGTGCAGGTCAACGTGGGGTCTGGCTTGACCCCCTTGGGAGAGGGTCAGACTGGGGCGATGGTTCATGATGACACCCTCTCTTGCCATTTGGTCCTCATGGAGCTCTTCTGTCACCCCATTCTCTGAGTTTGTGTGGGGTGGTTTCCAGGTCACGCTGTCGACCCCTGACCCTGCTCCCCCTTGGTCCCAGTCATCCACATTGCCCATGGGCCATGAGCTGAAACTACTGGGGAGGGTCCAGGCAGAGCTTTGTTCAGAGAAGTCGATGTTGGCAGACCCACCAGGTCAGGTGCCAGGAGACGTCTTCACCAGGTGGGGATGTTGGCCAGGGACAGAGCCAGCCGGGGAATGTGGACCTGCCCTTGAAGCTCCCCTCTCTTGTGTTTCTAGATGGGGCTCCTGGGTCCATCATGGCCTGGGGGCTCTGCGGGGGCTCCAGGTGTGGCCGAGCCCCTGTGGGCTTCTGGCAGTGACTGAAGAGGATGGATATTGTGCTGGTACCAAGACACTGTGAGCCCGTGAGGTCTCTCAGTGCCAACCCTCTCTTTTGTTTCATGAAAATAAGATGCCTGGAGGGCAAGGACCACATTCCAAAATTGCAGAAGTGTCCCTCTGTGGAGGAGTCTGAGCCTTGAGGTTCAAAGAGGGCGAGTGACTAGGTCGGTGCCAGGACGGCCCTCTGCTACCTGGAGAAAGTGGCGCAAATGACCCCAAACCTCATGGACGAGGGGATGGCAGACGCGGGTGGTTCTTACCTTGACATGTGTTCTCACTCTCGTTTCTGAACGTTGTTGCCCCAGAAACGAGCCCATATCCTGGGCTACATGTGCAGTAGTGGCTCCCGTCCACATTCTGGCAATCAGCGAATTTCCCACAGGACACTGCCAAGGGTGGTTCACACTCATTGATGTCTGCAACACAACAGGACAAAGGGTTACCTCCCAAAGGTGAGAGTTCCCAGAGAGCAGAGACCCTGGCCCCAGCCTGACCCTGCCACAGGGACAGCACAGAACTCAGCTCCCTGGTGGCACCCCTGAGACACAGCTGGGCTGGAGCCATCTGCTCCAGAAATTCTGCTAATTGTCCGCTCATCTCCGCTCTCTGGCTGGGCCTGAGGGCACCTAGATTCAGAAACTCTGCTGTCCCATGATGGGGGCTGGAAGGAGGTGAGCACCCCTCTCCACAGCTGGAGGGGTAGACGGAGGCACTGACTCAGCTCTGGACCCTCCCCTGGGTGCTCTCGGCACTATTGGGGACCCAGGAGTACACTCCAGTCAGGGTGACAGTGGCATTGAAGGCCACTCTGGACGCCAAGGAAGGGGATGGAGCCATAGTGGGGGCTGTCCAGGGCCATGCTCATCATTCACACCTGGGGATAAAGCCAGGTGGTCAGGAGCCTGCCCAGCACTGGCTTCCATTGCCCTTTACTCACAGTGGCCCAAGTGCACCCACACTCCCCATCAGGCACTCCCCCAGCTCCCCAGATCAGGCCTTTCCCAGATGCCCCAGGATGTCTCCAGGGGAGTCTTGCCATCTCCACCCCTGAGGGAAGTCTCCCCTTATCAGAGCCTGTGGTGGGTGTGAAATGAGGAAGCAGCACAAGCTGCTCACAGCTGAGTCATCGGGGTGTCTTCTGGCATCTTCTCTCTCCTTGCTCTCCAATCACGAGAGGAAAGATGCCCATGAACCACATCCCCTTTGAGCAGCTCAGGACCCACAGAGCAGGGGCTGCACAGCGTAACTGAAAACAGCATCAGCTTAGTAAGAACCGCAGATGCAAAACAAATCAACATGCAGGGCAGGATTGCGGCCTGTGTGCATCCAAGGAGGGGACCAGAGACTTCAGCGCCTGAAAGGACTCACAGCGTCATGGTGAGTCAGGCAGGTGACTGGTCTCCCCCAGATAGGAGCTGTCTTCTCTGCACCTGCAGACTTCCCTTCTAAGGCCCCGACCCAGGCTGCAGGTGTCAGCACCAGGACAGGACAGGACGCAGGAGGGACGCACACCTGAGGGATTCGTGTTCAGCCCCCACCTGGCAACGGGGCTTCCCTCCTCTGTTCTATGATGGCGGCAATGGCTGGACTTCTGTTCCCAATGTTGACGTGAGGGTGTGAAGCCAAGTGTGGGACCACTGAGAATGAGGTGCAAGGGATGAGGGGAGAGACAAGAGGATGGGACATCTCCACCTGACAGGTGCCCTCCCAGAGAGGAGCTGGGATCCAGGGGCATTAGCAGCAGGGTCTCCTCTCCATGGTCACCCGTCTACAAATCTCCGTGAGACACACACGCACACACAGGAGGCTTTAGGAACACCGCCAGGGTTGTGGATGGCTGGGCCGTTGTCACAACGTCAGCTTTTTCCACCTGACAAAATTGACTTTCCCCCAAATATTAAATAACACATGCATACTAGGAAACAAAGAAAATTATACATAATCCCCTCCACAGACTACTGAAACTTTTAAGGGTATTTTCTCTCATTTTTTCAAACATATAGGAAATCTTTTTACCATCATTATCAATAAATGCGCATCCAAGACCCTTTTGAGTCAAAGAGGAGTATTTCCTAGTGTAAAACAGTATAATTTTCTTCTTTTCCCATTTACAAAAATCGTTGTAAAATACACAACATAAAATTTACCATCGGAACTATGTTTAAATGGTATAATATCCTTTTATGACCGTGTATTGTTGAAGAAGGAAAACTGCTTCGTTTTACAGCTGGATTTAATTTCAACCACATGGTTAGTTATAGGATTTGGAAAAGTCACTCGATCTCTTTCCATCAAGTCTGATCATTTAAACCACAAGCCAAGCTCTGCGTGCCTCACGGGGCTGCTGTGAGCAGGAGGTGGGAGACCGTGGTTGTGAGTTGGGTTCCTGGAGAGCTCTGGCTGGTAGGAGGGCCTGAGCTCCCCGGCCCGGGCTGTGTCTTTCCTCCTGCTGCTTCCATTGTCTCTCCCGTTTCTTTGTATTATTAGAATAATGACAATAATAACATCAGTAACAATGATGATAGCTGTCATTTGTTGACAATTCGCTGTGTACTAGTCTTTCCCTGTTCTTCCCACAGAGAAATGTTAAATCTCACACCATCCACGTGGGGCAGGTGCAGTGCTTATCCCCAACTCACAGGCAAGCAAATTGAGAGGAGAGCTAATTTCCTGAATATCGGAGAGCCAGTCAGGGGCAGAGCAGCACTCGGAGCCCTCGGAGCCCAGCTGCCCTGTGTGAGCTCTCGACACTCTCCCTACTGACTGTGAAAGCAGGTGCCCACGTCCCTCACACTTCCCCTGCCTGTCTCCTCTCTCATCCCTGACAAAGTGCTTCTGTGCTGCTCTCCGGGCTCAGGGTTCTGGATGCCCCACAGTCTCCCCCCACCGTCCCCATGTGCCCCCATCACCCCAAGCTCCTACTGTACCATCACAACTGTCCACGGGGCTGGTGATGATCTCCCCAGACCAGGAGCTGAATCCCGGATGGCAGCGACAGGCGATGGCATTGATACATACGGAGTTCCGAGGGCACCAGGGAGCACAGCCTGGAGGGGCTGTGGGACAAGGACCATGGTCAGAAAGTCCATGGAATGGAGGAAGTCAGCTGTCAGCAGGGGGTCCAAGAGTAGAGGAGGGGAGAGCAGAGAGGGATGACCCCCATCAAGGAGGAAGAGCTCAGAAAACTCTGGACATTTAGGGGGAAGAAACAGCTTGTCTTGTCCCCAGAGGGCCATCTCTGAGCCCCCTTTCCTCACCTTGTTGGTGACAGAACCCAGGCGCCAGCATGGACACCCTAGCTTATGTCACTAATGGGGCCGGCTGAGCAGACTCACCTCTAGGTTTCTTGGCTGCAATTCCCAATGGCCACAGCAGCAGCACCAAGAATCCTGGGGCAGATAGATATAGAGATGACAGAGAGGAGAGTCAAACCCCAATTTCAGCCCCTGTCCACATTGCCATTGCCTCCCGTGGAGGGGGCTCTGGCCCTGCAGCACACAGCTTTCCGGCAGCATCCCCAAGGCTCCTGTCCTTCACTGGAATCGAGGATTCAGCCTCTCCCTCCATCCCCCAGGCCTCCCCGAGGACTCGGCCACTGACAGCCACAGCCACAGACATACCAGCAGGGCACGGAGCCCTGGAATCAGGAGGGGGGTTGATGACAGGTGAGGAGTGGGAACTAAGGAAGCTGCAGGTAGAGCGACTCTCTCCTGGTGAGTGGACTCTCCAGGGACAGCAGCCATGGCTTCCTGGTTCCTCCAATGAGCTCCTGGCGTCCTCTAGTGCACTGAGGGCACCGCCTTCCCCCTTAGCCCCCAGGCCAGTCCTGAGAAATGAGTCACTGAGCAGGCGTTGTGGGTGAAAGCCGCTATGGGCGCTAAGGAATGAAAGCTGCTGAACAGGCAACAACCAGTCTGCCTCACAGGGTCTGTCATCACATCCACGTGAGCTGAAAATCTTTTCAGACCTGTGTGCCTTTATGGGATTTTTCTTTTTGACTAAAGCAAAGATGAATTTCTCTTAACGCTGCACTGCCAGTTCTCACTGTGCAAGGTGGTGGAGGACCCTGGTGGAGGATGGGTTTGGGGATGGACACGCTCACGTCTGCAGCCCAGACGTCCCCCTGGTGGCTGCACGGCTTCAGGAACGCTGCCCATCCTTTGCCCACACTTGCCCCAGTGCAAAGTGGGTGCAACGGTAACTGTGATAGGGTGAGCTTTATTCTGACCATAGATTAGTGAAGACTAACAACGGGTTAGCGCAGTGCCTGACACAGAGCAGACAGACAACACACATCAGCTAAAGGGAAGGAAAGAGCAAAAGAAGGAAAGGAAGAGCAGCTCCCTCCTGCTCCTCTACGACCTTCCTGTTCCCTGAGACACAGCTGCGTGGGCCAGACTCCAGGGTCAGGCGGAATCACACGCTCAGCTCGGTTCTCTCAGGGCTCAGAGTCCTAGACTTCTACTCTGCCCTCCTTGCGCACGAAATGTCCTTTTCTCTTGTGGCTCCGCCCAGTGCTGAGGACAGCCAGGCTCCAGGGCCAGACTGCCCGAGTCCACACCCAGCCCGGAGCTGCCCCTCGGGAAAGCTGTGCAGGTGACCCATGCCTTAGATGCCCGTCAACCGTGCTCCTGTTCCTAGAGTGTGGCCCCCAGAGCAGGCACAAATGATCCTAATGTCCCATATGTGTGAATAAGGTCATTAGTCTACTGAGATGTTATACACGCACAGCTAAAAATGTGCACATCTGGGAGAAGCTAACTTTGTTAAATTTAAACTTTGTTTAAATGCCCACAGCGTCTTGTACATTGGACCCTCCAGAATATGCACAGATTTTTAAAAAAATCATATTCCAGAAAGCAGGTGGTAAGAAATATGGCTATTTTCATAAAAACCAGGAAACTAATTACAACCAACGAAGACAACATATAGGTAACATCTAACCTACAAGGTGACAGGTCTAATCCTAAACATTGAGGGAAATAGAACTAATCAGAAGTAAGCTGACCTCACCGATATCAGTTTTCACTAATTCACTTTTATTGTCCTTCTGATCATTCCATGACTCGCACAAAGCTGATAGACTTAAGGACTTTGTTTTTCTCAGAATATTAGACTTTTCTGAGAGTTTGGTTGTCTACTCTTCTGAAAAACAGTGGCATAAGTGGTATGATGTTTAATCTTATGCATCCCTTTGCCTGGGCTGCAGCACCCAGATATTTGATCAAACACGAGTCTAGATGGTGCTGTGAAGGTATTTTTAGATCATAGTAACATTTAGACCAGTAGACGGTGGGCAGGCAGATCACCCTCCACAATCTGAGTGGGCCTCACCCAATCAGTTGAAGAAATTAAGAGAAAAAAGATTGACCCCCTCTGAGGGAATTCTGCTGAGGAAGAGGGAATTCTGCTTCCAGACTGGCTTCAGACTTGAGATGCAACATCGAGTCTTCCCTGGGTTTCCAGCCTGCCAGCAGGTTTTGGACTTTCCAACCTCCACAATCTCACGATGCAAGTCCTTAAAGTAAATCTAGATAGGTAGGTAGACATACAGATGGACAGAAACAGAGAGAGACACAGAGACAGAGAGAGAGATACATCCTGTTGGTTCTGTTTCTCGGGAGAACCTGAACTAATATGGGTGGTAAATCCCTTAGTCCCCACTTTTGCCCTCGCAATAAGTTTCACTGACTTTCTCCTTTGAGGACTGAACAGAACTGAGCTAATATCCTTCTTAGAATTTCTTCCCTGCTCTTTCTTACAGAGATGGGGTGAAACGAGCCAGAAATCGGACAAAGAACAGAGAACATTCTCAAACTGTAAAGACAGTTCCCAGCTAGCTTATACTTCTCTCATCGTTGTTATAATTCTTCCTACCTGGCAGCAACCTTAGAAATCTCTTTCTCATGGTGCAGAGTCCAGCAAGCCCAGCCACGGAGGACGTCGGATCTTGGTCTGTGTGTGACAAAGACTTCCTGCTTTTAGTATGACTTCCGTCTTTATGAGCTTACTTAGGAAATCTCTTATGTCAATGCTTTCTTCCCCTGATCTGCCCCATGATTAACTTCTCTGAAGCTCATAGTTCTGCTTTTAAGTATTTGCAGGGCATCATTAGTATTTTCACTAAAACCCTGCCTGAGGCTGATTTTCATGTCTTTTTGATAGATGTGATACTGTGTTTAAAAGGCCTCCCAAATGTGAGGAATCATTCTACTGATCTCTTTGCCCCACAAGGATCTCAATTCAGAATGAAAAGACCTGTCAATTTATTATCTATTAACAGATTTCTCAAAGTTCTTATTTTGAAATAAATATAGGTTCACAGGAAATTGCAAAAATGATACCAAGCTGTCCTGTGTGCCCTTCACCCAGTTTCCTGCAAAGTTTACATTTTTATGGGATGATCGTCCCATAAATGACATTTTCATCGTACCCTGGATATGTAAGGTATTGTGTTTTCAAACTCATAGACTCATAAACTTAAGGTATTATGTTACTAAAGTCTTCAGTTTTGGCTGACTCCTCTGACATCACTACAGTGCGGAAAGGGCTGCCATCTTGTTTCTGGCCCATGAAGGTAGGATCCAGCTTTCCCGCTTGGGCTCCAGTGATGCTCCCGTGGGGGAGGGATACCTTGTTATCGCTGGGTGGGGTTGGAGGGTCTCTCTCACAACCAGGCCTCTGCTGACACCACCTGTCTGGGCTGTGGAGAAACCTCCCCACATGCCTCCACTGACTCCACAGACAGGGGCTCTTTCCAATGGGCATGATGAGCGTCCCAGCTCCTTCTCTGCTGCAGCCCGTGGGGTGGGAGGAGCGCTTCATTACAGACGGCAGGAGTGGAGGGCTGGGCTCCACACCTGGCCTCTGCTGCTGAGGGGAAGACACAGTGTTTTCTGTGGTGTTTGGTTGAAGTGGGCAGTTACTGTTGACGTACTCTCTGTTGTGTTGCCTGCCCCTTCTCGCTCTTTTGGCTAAGGGGGAGCAGGCTTCTCTCGGTGGCACTTCTTTTATCTGCACCCATTGGTATTTCTGGGTTGCAACCTCTTCATTCCAAGTCTGGGATGTATGAGGCAGGAAGAAAACCCACAGAATCAACACTGCGTATTTCCTTGGGTCTCAGAGTCCCTGTGCTGTCTGCCTTCTCTGCACCTTTCAGAGTCTTCTTATGGTTGTTTTATGTGTAAAATGTTTATATTTACTATAGTTGTAGTTGTGTTTTAACATAAACTTTTTCATACTATCAATTGTTCTCAACTTGTCCTTCAGGCAACAGTACTTTTTGGAGAGTTTTCGCATGACGTACATACAGATCCACATCTCTCTTTTTGGCTGCCGTTGCATATATTTAGATTACACAATATGAATAAATTATACCTTCCATTCCTTGTTTGATGCACATTTAGATGGGCTCTTGTTTCTCATTGTTACAATAATTCTGCAGTGAACATATCAGAAATATCACAAGGGGATCATTTGTAAATTTCCTTAGGAGATTCATCAAGTGTTTCAGGTACTTGGTTGAAGAGCATGTATGTTTTACATTGTAATAAGTTCTGCCAAACTTCTGTCTAGTAGGATCTATCAAATTACCCAGGTGCTATAGAAGAGGATGAGTCTCCCACATTCACACTGTTTTAAATTTCATTTTGAGCATGAAAAATTTTGTAAACCTGCGACTTAAGTGACTTCTATGCTAGGTGAATCATTTATCTCATTTAGAAGGAAATTAATAAAAGAAGAGAGATGCAGGGACTTTAAAATGTCTAGAAGGTGTGTTCCTTATACATTTGTAGATGGAGAAAGTCAAAGACTTCAAGAATATAAGCCAACCTCTCTGAGCATCACAGGTGCCTCCATCCTTAGGATGACGAGGCCAGACCAGGTGAACTGCACGGTACCTCTCAACTCTACAATTCTAAGATTCCATTAGGACGCTTAGGGATCACAGATGTCTTGGAATCTTGAAATTATACATTATCAAAGGTTTTCATTTTCCCCAATTTGAAGGGTAAAGAATTTATCTTATCATTTCAGTCTGTACTTCTCTCATTTACCAGTGTAAATTTCAACAAATTTTCATGTACTTTTGCATTTTGACACTTCTCTCTGTGAGCTACCTGCTCATACCTTTTGCACACTTTCTATCGTATTCCTTCATTCTTCTTATTTACTTTAAGGAGTTAACAATGTGTGCATGCATGTATAGATTATTTGTAATTACTAACTTTTAAGTAACATGAATGGCTATTGCTGTGCACTCTTAAATGCCATAAAAAGGCTTTTGTCTTTGTACTGGGTTATGGTCCTTTGGGGAGAATTGTGAGCCAATTCAGGTATCAGTTTTCAAAGTATTTTGCTTTGTAGCAACTTGGAATTTATTTTTCTTTTTCACATCATAAGAAATATATCAGTATTCTCTTTTTAAATGACTAAATCAATGCATGTGCTCAGCAAAATATGAGAAATTTCCCCTACGTTGCATAGCTGAGCCCTGCAACACACAGGCACATGTGAACATGCGTGTTCTCTCTCCTTTACAAAGGGACTCACGACTCACACTTTGTAATGTACCCAAGCATTTTTCTAAATATTAATTAATTAATTAATATTATAATATTAATTAATATTTTTATGTATCTACCTATATTTTAAAAACCTGTATTAAATACGTGTAAGGTTCTGCAACTAGCATTTTCACATGAAAATATTCCTTTTTATGTACATATTACTGTAGTCTTTTTTCACAGCTCCATAGATTTTCCTATGGTTGGACTCTAATTTGTTAAACTGCTCCCTATTAGTAAATTCTGTAGTTCTGAAGGAGGACTTGGAAACTTGAAGTGGGTACATAGTTGATTACTTGACAGACATACGGATGTGATATTGAGGGTGGAGAACGGCAAAGACCCCTGACCTGTCTGTGAAATCCTTGACCTGTTACCCTGATAAGAAGAATTGAGGCCCATGGTCTAATACAGATCGCAGGGCTGCAGCGTCTGGAAGCTGGAGAACTGAACGGTCTAAGGCTGAATTATCTGTAAGGGGCGGGGAGAGGGTGAGTCCGTGTACACCCATAACTTACTGCTCCCCCTTCACCCAGAGCATCACGGCCCCCACACTGAGCTGAGATCTGGGGCTCCCTGCAGTCACACGTGTAAGGCCTGGGGAGGCTGGGACCCCAAAGCTGCCTGTGTTCCCATAATACTGCTCTTCGTGAGAAATTTTAGCATTGTCTTTTTTCTGTATTTCTATTTGATCTTCATGTCAAAACAAAAATGGGTAATAACTGAGAAAACTTGACTATTCTTCCAAACACCCAGAAGACACCTCTTCTTTTTACACTCTGTTTATTAAGTACACAGATACTGTGTGCTTATGTTGTAGTTTTAAATAACCATCCACAAATTGGAGATTCTGCCAGATATCTTCTTGAACCCTGCCCCGATCCTACTCCCCTCAGCAGAAATCCTTTATGGATAGAATGTGTGTTTTTCCTTAAAAACCCAGGGCAGAACTTAGAACCTTTTAATCACATCAGTAATAACATATTCTTGTTGCAACAGCTCAGACATTATAGAAGTTATCATACCCGTTAATCAGTGTCCGCAAACTTAGGCTCCTCACTTTGCACCTGTAAAAAATACCATATTTTACTGTTCATAAGAATTAACATTACTGTGCAGACTGCATTTCAAGTTTCTTTTTTACACTCAACTATGTATATTGTAGCTCATTTCATGTCAGTGTAGAAGCTGTGTTATAGACAGATGTATTTTATTCTTTTTTACTCTGAGAGATAGACCCCCATTTACTTTGTCATTCCTGATTCATGAATGCTTGCATATTTAAGAAAAATTAACAGTCCTTTTTAATTAGAGGACAAGAATCACAGTGATTGAAAAGCACAACGAAGTCAAAACAGTTCTGGTGTTTTCCATCTGGCGAAGCGTCCTTTCCCCCACACACAGGCCCTTCAGTTCTCTGCAGGCACACTTGCCGCACAAGACTTTCCCAACTTTGCCAAGCACTGAGGCCAGACTTCAGGGTAGAATACTGAATTTAGTCCTATGAAAAATAAAAAAAAGAAAAACATTAGTTTTAATTTGGAAATGCTCATTTTTACTCCCTAATAGATATTTGTAATTACTAACGTTTAAGTAACATGAATGGCTATTGCTGTGCACTCTTAAATGCCATAAAAAGGCTTTTGTCTTTGTACTGGGTTACGGTCCTTTGGGAAGATTCTCCCAGCTCACTGGTGAGCTCAGAAGCAAAATGTGAGAGTGACTGCGTTGGTGTAGTAGTTTCCGGGGCACCTTAGAGGACAGGAGAGCAAGTGGGCAGCCTCTAGAGAAGATTTGAGCCTCGGCTAAATTGCTCTATTTTTAGAAATCTTAGCTTTTTACAGCAGTTTTAGGTTCACAGCAAAATTAAGGAAGGTACAAGATTTCCCACGTGCCCCCTGCCCTCACACATGTATGGCCTCTCCTGTCATCCACATCCCTCACCAGACGGGTACCCCAGTTACAATGGAGGCACCTCCATTGACACGTCACAATCACCAGGGTCTCTGACCACATCAGGGTTCACTCTTGTGTTGTCCATTCTACTGCTTGCATCTCTTCCGCTCTTTCCCTTTGGCACATATACTGCAAAAATCCTTCCTGTAATATTTTTCTATGAACATGGGAGTGTTTCTCCAAGGGAGATTATAAGAGGTGGGATGTCTGGGCCCCAGGGTGTTTGCATCTTAAATTTTCATAGCTAGGACCGAATTGCAACATACAGTGTCTATATCAATTTACCCTCGTACCATATGGGGCTATCCATTTCACCATGGCCTAACCAATGTTGAATGCTATCCAGTCCCGCAGACTTTTCCAATCTAATGCTTGACAGTATTAGCTCCTTGTTGTATTAATTTTAATTTCCTCGATTACTGTGTATTTGCCAGCAATTAGTTT